CATGCCACAGAGAAGCGGGGCCCGTGAGCCATGGCCGCTGAGCCTGCGCGTCCGGAGCCTGTGCTCCGCAACGGGAGAGGCCACAACAGTGAGAGGCCCACATACTGCAAAAAAAAAAAAAAAAAAAAGTACCATATCTTTTAAAAAATAATAATAATAAACAAATGGGACCTAATCAAACGTATAAGCTTTTGTACAGCAAAGGGAACCATAAAACGAAAAGACAAGCTACAGACTGGGAGAAAAATATTTGCAAATGATGAAACTGACAAGGGCTTAATTTCCAAAATATACAAACAGTTCATGCAACTCAATAACCAAAAACAATAGACCAATCGAAAAATGGACAGAAGATCTAAATAGACATTTCTCCAAAGTAGACATACAGATGGCCAACAGGCACATAAAGAGATGTTCAACATCGCTAGTTATTAGAGAAATGTGGAAATCAAAACTACAGTGAGGTACCAGCTCACACTGGTCAGAATGGCCATCATTAAAATGTCTACAAATAATAAATGCTGGAGCGGTTGTGGAGAAAAAGGAACCCTCCTCAAAAAGATACATGGGGCTTCCCTGGTGGTGCAGTGGTTGAGAGTCCGCCTGCCGATGCAGGGTACGCGGGTTCATGCCCTGGTCCGGGAAGATCCCTCATGCCGCGGAGCAGCTAGGCCTGTGAGCCGAGGCCACTGGGCCTGTACGTCCGGAGCCTGTGCTCCGCAACGGGAGAGACCACAACAGTGAGAGGCCCACGTACCGCAAAAAAAAAAAAAGATACATGCACCCCTATGTTCATAGCAGCACTATTCACAATAGCCAAGACATGGAAACAACCTAAATGTCCATCAACAGATGAATGGAAAAAGAACATGTGAGATACACACACACACACACACACACACACCCACACACAATGGAATACTACTCAGCCATAAAAAAAGAATGAAATAATGCCATTTGCAGCTATATGGATGGGCCCAGAGATTATCATACTAAGCAAAGTAAGTTAGAAAGAGAAAAACAAATACCATATGATATCGTTTATATGTGGATCCTAGAAAAATGGTACATATGAACTTATTGGCAAAGCAGAAATAGAGTCATGGATATAAAGAACAAACTTATGGTTACCAAGGGCAGAAGGGAGGGGGTAGGACGAATTGGGAAATTGGGATTGGCATATATACACTACTATGTATAAAATAGATAACTAATGAGAACCTACTGTTTAGCACAGGGGACACTACTCAGTGATCTGTGGTGACCTAAATGGGAAGGAAATCTAAAAAAAAAGTGGATATGTGCATACGTTCAACTGATTCACTTCGCTGAACAGCAGAAACTAACACAACATTGTAAAGCAACTATACTCCAGGGACTTCCCTGGTGGCACAGTGGTTAAGACTCCGTGCTACCAAGGCAGGGGGCCTCCGTTCAATCCCTGGTAAGGGAACTTGATCCCACAGGCATGCTACAACTAAGAGTCCACATGCTGCAACTAAGGAGCCAGCAAGCTGCAACTAAGACCTGGTGCAACCAAGTAAATAAATAAATAAATAAATAAATAACACAATGAGTAAACAAACAAAAAAAAGCAACTATACTCCAATATAAATTAATTTTAAAAAATGAAAGTTTCTATTCCTGGAATGATGGTGGAATAATTTGGATAATGAATTTTACTCTTCAAGATTTAATTTGGCACATCATCACAATTCCTTCTGCCATCCCCACTTTTCCATTTTACTGTGGGTTGTGGGTGCATCCTGGGTCAAAACTTTGATCTCATTTAAAAGATAGAAAAAGGGCTTCCCTGGTGGCGCAGTGGTTGAGAGTACGCCTGCCGATGCAAGGGACACGGATTCGTGCCCCGGTCTGGGAAGATCCCACATGCCGCGCAGCGGCTAGGCCCGTGAGCCATGGCCGCTGAGCCTGCGCATCCAGAGCCTGTGCTCCGCAACAGGAGAGGCCACAGCAGTGAGAGGCCCACGTGCCACAAAAAAATAAAGAAAGAAAAAATCAGAGTAATTTTGCTGAATTCATGCCAACGTTTAATAAGGTGGACAAGTCACTTCATCTAATCGGCTCATTAAGTCTCATGTCATCTGCCATCATGTTAGACACTGGTGGAGACATTTACATCCAGGCCCTCTTGCAGCAATGAATGAGGAGTTACCACACCTGAGTTCAAGTACTTAATTCTATCCTCTTTTTTTCTTTTTTCTTGATAGTATTAATTTTACTTCCGTAGATGATTAAAAAGTTGTCATGAAAAACTTGGTCTTTTCCTTTTTTTTTTTTTGGCTGAGCCACATAGCGTGTGGGAGCCTAGTTCCCCCATCAGGGATGGAACTGGGGCCCCTGGCAGTGAGAGCACCGAGTCCTAACCACTGGACAGCCAGGAATTCCAGCCTGTCTTTTTCATTTTTTTTTAAATGAAGATTTATGGGCTCAAACATTTAAGTAAAAAACTTTTTTTGTACCCATGTGACCCAAAGCAACAAGAACATTTTCAGGGAGTGATTTGGAGAGTAGATTTTTCTGCCTTCATTCAGAATGTTTTCTGGCTCCTAATTTACTGGATGCTCTTTTCATATACAAATCCTTATCTACGCTTTCTGGTCCAACTCAAATGTCATACTTTTAAAAAAAATTTTATTTGTTTATTTTTGGTTGTGTTGGGTCTTCACTGCTGCGCACGGGCTTTCTCTAGTTGCGGCGAGTGGGGGCTACTCTTCGTTGCAGTGCGCAGGCTTCTCATTGCGGTGGCTTCTCATTGTGGAGCACGGGCTCTAGGCGTGCGGGCTTCAGTAGTTGTGGCTTGCAGGCTCTAGAGCGCAGGCTCAGTAGTTGTGGCACACAGGCTTAGTTGCTCCGTAGCATGTGGGATCTTCCCAGACCAGGGGTCAAACCTGTGTCCCCTGCATTGGCAGGCGGATTCTTAACCACTGCACCACCAGGGAAGCCCCTCAAATGTCATACTTTTATAAAGCTTTCTCTTACCACTTCCAACCTTCTTTTGAACCTCCACACTGCTCTGTATCATTCTTATGACATTTATTACCTTATATTTTGAGGTATGAATATATTGTCTATATCCTTCTTGAGGGGTCTCAGTGGGCACTGGTACACGGAGAAGGACCTTAAAGTCTCACACACATATATTTATTGAAGAAAAGAATGGGGAAGCTTGCACAAGGCACTTAGCTTCTCTGTTCCTTAGTTGCCTCACTAATGCAACCTATTTCAGGGGTAAGTTGTGAAGAGGTAAGTTGTGAATGGAATGAGTTAACATGTGCCAAGGAATTTTTAAAGATAAAAAATGAGGGGCAGTGTAAGATACTTTTTCCTGTTCATGAATACTATGCTTTGCTTGTTCATAACTATAATCTTCTGTGTGAAGATAAATGGCTAAATGATTCCAAAAGAGCCAGAAGATGATCTCAAGAGGTGATGAGCTTTCAAGGTTCTTAAGATTTTAAGCAGACTGGAGAGTGGTAGTGCCACACAATGAAAGAGCTTGTAGTTTAAGGTCAGACATGAATTTTTTTTTTTTTTTTTTTTTGGCTGTGTTGGGTCTTCGTTGCTGTGCCCGGGATTTCTCTCTAGTTGGGCCGAGCAGGGGGTACTCTTCGCTGTGGTGTGTGGGCTGCTCATTGCTGTGGCTTCTCTTGTTGCGGAGCACAGGCTCTAGGTGCGCGGGCTTCAGTAGTCGTAATGCAGGCTCAGTAGTTGTGGCTCGTGGGCTCTAGAGCGCAGGCCCAGTAGTTGTGGTGCACTGGCTTAATTGCTCCACGGCATGTGGGATATTCCCGGACCTACGCACCCTGCATTGGCAGGCAGATTCTTAACCACTGTACCACCAGGGAAGTCCCCAGACGTGAATTTTAATCTCTTGTTTGGCCCTTGCTGGGTTAGCTTTGTTACCCTAAGTAACCTACTCAACTTTTCTGAGTCGGGTTTCCTTATTTGTAAAATAGGGATGAGGAAATTGTGTTTTGCAGGGCAGTACGAGAATTAGTAATAATGGACGTAGTAGTATATGCTACCTAAGTGGGAAGAATCGTTAATACTTAGGGACTTGAGTTTAAATAGCCCCACATTTGCCCTTTATTCTGTTGACAATATTTTCATCCTGGTATTTAAAGGAGCTGTTACAGAGTATGCAAAAATTAGTTTGCGCCGGAACTTGGGAATATGTATTTGTTCAATGAGTTATTAATAAAGTCTTGAATTAAAAAAATTCCTCCTAAGTCCGTTTCAATAAAGTTTTGCTCAAACGGGGAGCTGGGATCTTATCGCGAGAATCTGGCGGAAGGCGTTTCTGGCCCGGGACTTGCTCTCGCGTTGTTTGAGCAGGCAGTGGGGAGAGGTGAAAGGAAGCACGAAATACCGCGAGAGTACTGCAGATTCTCGCGATATTTCCTGGGATTACCCCCTCCCCCTTCCTCCCAGTGCTGTTTCGGTTTAACCTAGTGTGTGACTGTGAGCCTCTGTGAGGGAGCGAGTGAGTGTGAGGTACTGAGGTGAGGCGGAAGCTAGAAAAGGGGCTCTTTCAGTAGCGAGGGACAAAGGGGGCGTGAGGCACCTAGGCCGCGGGACCCCAGCGACAGGAAGCCGCCCCGAGCCGGGCTACCGGGTAGGGGAAGGGCCCGCGCAGTCCTCACAGGGCCCCAGAGCCGGAGTCGGCCCCACAGCCCCAGGCCGTCGGCTTCCTACTTCCTCGACCTCCCCGGCGCCTGGGCCTGAGGATTGGCTCGGCGTGGGGAGGAGGGGAAACAGACTCGAGCGGCTACCCGTTGTCTCGCAACTCCACTGCTGAGGAACTCTCATTTCTTCCCTGGCTCCTTCACCCCCCACCTCATGTAGGAGGGTGCTGAGGAGTCGGGAGGGAGGAGGAGCCTGGGCTACCGTCCCTTCCCTCCCCACCCCCTTGTAGGGGCGCTTTGGTAGGCGTGGGGCTGGGGCTGGGGGGGAGGGTGGGGGTTACTTTTTGGAGTGCTGGGGAACTTTTTCCCCATTTTGAGGCCAGGGGAAAGGGAATGCCCAATCCAGAGAGACATGGGGGCAAGAAGGACGGGAGTGGAGGAGCTTCTGGAACTTTGCAGCCGTCATCGGGAGGTGGCAGCTCCAACAGCAGGGAGCGTCACCGCTTGGTGTCGAAGCACAAGCGGCATAGGTCCAAGCACTCCAAAGACATGGGGTTGGTGACCCCCGAAGCAGCACCTTTGGGTACAATTATCAAACCTTTGGTGGAGTATGATGACATTAGCTCTGATTCCGATACCTTCTCTGACGACATGGCCTTCAAACTGGACCGGAAGGAGAATGATGAACGTCGCGGGACTGATCGGAGTGACCGCCTGCACAAACACCGTCACCACCAGCACAGACGTTCCCGGGACTTACTAAAAACTAAACAGTCAGAGAAAGAAAAAAACCTGGAAGCCTCCAGCAAGTCGGGATCGATGAAGGACCGGATATCAGGAAGTTCAAAGCGTTCAAATGAGGAGAATGATGACCATGGGAAGACGCAGATCTCCAAAAGCAGCAGCAACAAGGAATCCAGGTCATCCAAACTCCATAAGGAGAAGACCCGGAAAGAACGTGAGTTGAAGTCCGGGCACAAAGACCGGAGTAAAAGTCATCGGAAAAGGGAAACACCCAAAAGTTACAAAACCGTGGACAGCCCCAAACGGAGGTCCAGGAGTCCCCACCGGAAGTGGTCGGACAGCCCCAAGCAAGACGATAGCCCCTCAGGAGCTTCTTACGGCCAAGATTATGACCTTAGTCCCCCGAGATCTCACACCTCTAGCAATTACGACTCCTACAAGAAGAGTCCGGGAAGTACCTCAAGAAGGCAGTCAATCAGCCCACCTTACAAGGAGCCTTCGGCCTACCAGTCCAGCACACGGTCACCCAGTCCCTACAGTAGACGACAGAGGTCTGTGAGTCCCTATAGCCGGCGACGTTCTTCCAGCTATGAAAGGAGTGGCTCTTACAGTGGGAGATCACCCAGTCCCTACGGCCGAAGGCGGTCCAGCAGCCCTTTCCTGAGCAAGCGCTCTCTGAGCCGGAGTCCGCTCCCCAGGTGAGCTATTTGTCTAACAGCCCGTTCCTTCTTACGGTGGCTTATGAGGAACTGGTGATTAGACATGTTAACATTTTGTTGAAGCCCCCAGTGTTCATCATTGACTAGAACACTTTGCTATTGGCTAGTCATCATGTAGGTGAGTCTGGTCTCCTCTTAACCCAGAATTGGAGAAGTGCAGAGTTCACATGCCTACAGCTGTTAAAGGTAGGTACTTCCAGTGGTGGGATCTTCAGTTGTAGGCTCCCATGTGAGAAAAATCATAGGCTTCTGCTTACTGACTGCATAGGATTGATACTGGTGCCCAGAGTTTATCCAGCTATTTCGGTTGCTTTGTCTTAATTTTTTAAAAATCACTTTGGTATTAGTGCCTTAGGCTTCATTGGACCTGATTGGAGATGTAAGAAATTAAAATTTTTCATTTGTATTATCTCGGGGCTATTTGCCTAAGTCATCTAGGATTTGTGCTGTCCACTGAGTCTCCAAACTTGTAAGTTTATTTCCTAATTGACAATTTTTTGATAACTTACAAGAGACTCCTGTCTTCTTTACGGTACGCGGGCCTCTCACTGTTGTGGCCTCTCCCGCTGCGGAGCACAGGCTCCGGATGCGCAGGCTCAGCAGCCATGGCTCACGGGCCCAGCTGCTCCGTGGCATGTGGGATCTTCCCAGACCGGGGCACGAACCCGTGTCCCCTGCATCGGCAGGCGGACTCTCAACCACTGCGCCACCAGGGAAGCGCGAGACTCCTGTCTTTTATGTGATGTTTCTAGTGGAAATTCAGCCAATTAGTTCTTTTTCCCTTTTATGGTATAACCTAGCAGAAATTGGTTCCAAGGATAATTTGATTTTATTTACAGCATCACCATTGACTTATTTGTGACCACAGGTGAATTTCAAAATCTTTCTCTTAAAAATTGGTAATAGTACCTTCACTGTGATATTTTTGGTGAGAAAGTCATGTTAGTTTGAAATTTAATTGTTGAAGTGAATTGTCTACAGAAAACTGTTCTTGTTCCTAGGTGGTGAGATGTACCTCCCTCTTTGTAGACTTAACATTTTCCTCAAAAGCAGAACTTGGGCTTTGGAGTTATACCTGAGTGGAATCCTAATCTTGCTTTGTGACCTTTGGCGTATAATTTAATTTCTCTGTGTGTGAAATGAGAATAATAACTACCTACTTCTAGAGTTGTTGTGAGGATTAATTAGTAAATATGAGTGCATAGCCAGGTACAGTGCCTGGTACTTGGAGCCAGTCAGTAAATTCTATCAATGAATGAGGGAAATGTTGTTGAACACTAGTAGAGAAACTATGTGAATTTGAAAAAATCCATGCATGTCTTTTATATGTCAGCGTGAGTAATTTTTGCTGACTTAAAGTTATAATTATTCATAAACTAGTTTGAATTCATCAAGCTACAGGAGTTCCTAGCTGTCAGAGTCTGAAGTTCCTTAGGCTTTTCCCCTCCATTTTATTACAATTTTTCAAGCACAGAAAAGTTGAAAGAATTGTAGTGAGGACTCAAGTATGTACCACCTAGATTCTGCAATTAATATTTGCTATACATTTTATCATCTCTATCCATCTCTCCACCTTCATTTGTTTTGATTCATCTCAAAGTAAGTTGCATACTTACTTGAAGTTTATAGTGAAGTTGCATTCCGTATACTTCACTATAAACACTTTAGCATGTACACCATTAGCTAGAGTTCACTTTTTTTTTGTTGGAGGGATGAGGGGTAAATTTATATACAGTGAAATGGATGTCTTAAGTGTACCATTTGTAAAATTGCTTAGTTTTTTAAGGATGCCTAAGAAATATTCTCAGAATATTTGTTTTCTTGAGGGAGTAGTTTCATTAAGGCTGTTCTGAGAATTTTTGATTGTTATGGGGTTTGGGAATACAGAATTACATTGAGGCTAAAACACTAAAACAAGTTTCAGTAAAAACTGCTACTTTGCAATGATTCCTTTTGGATTCAAATCTCAAGTTCTCTCTTCCTCTACTCACTTAGTTGGAACTAGTACAGTGATGGTAAAAATAAATCAAGAAAGAATTGGAGACACAGTATTATAGGACGTAAATATAAACACTACATAATAATCCTGGAGTCACATGCACATTTTTAGTTGGCTTGAAAAGAGCATTATATATTTGTGTGTGTGCGTTATGTACGTATTTTTCCTTGTTCAATTTCTTAGAGTCAGAGTGGAGGAACATACAGATCCCTTTTATGGTAGTCTCTTTTCTTTTTTCCTTGAGAGAGACAGTCAAGATTAAACAAAAGATTTCATTTTTAAAGACTGAAAATTCTTTGGCAGAAACGCAAGGTCTTTGCATCCAACAAATTATTAGTGATTAATAGTAGAAATTTCATTTCAAATGGTGGAACCTAACGTAATTCAGGGAAAAAATACATTGGTTTTTGAAGACAATTTTTTTTGTTGCCTACATTTTACCTATTTGTTGTTCCCTGTACCCCCTTTTTTCCTTGAAGAGTGGACCTGGACCTCAAATGTAACATTTATATAACTTATGGCCATCCAAACGTCCTATTAACAGTAGACTTCTGTTCAGAAGTTTAAGGTTTGTAGTAGAGTTCCTTAGGAAGATTTAGTCACGCTGAAAGATGAAAGAAACAGTGGTTTGTAGAGCACGGTCTCTGACATTACTTAGTGTTTTCCTGAGATAATGTTAGTTTTAGACCAACCTATAATTCAATCAGAGAAAACCTCTTGTTTTAGCCACTTATTTGTAAGAGAAGTATTAGTTTTCTGAAGGGTAAGTGGATATTTGGTAAATTCACTTAACTACTTTCAGTATTTTATATCCTCATGTTCATATATACATTGTTGTTGTTGTTTTGAGCACTTTGATTCCAATGATAACTTTACATTTTAATAAACTTGGAAGAAAGTTTCCAAAAAGCATTATAGGTATAAGAAAATCATGACTAACATCATGTGAGTTGTTTCACCTACCATGTATATGCTATTTGTTTTGAAACATTTTGAATCACATCAGTCTTAACAATGATCAACGATAAAGGGAGATATTGAAGATCTGGAATGGGAACAATTTGTTTTACACTACTGGGCAAATTATCTTTTGTCCAGTCACATTTTTTGTGCTAATTTTTTTTCCTCCTCACACTGAGGCCTGAGCACATTAGGCTTTATGAAAAAGCAAAAAAGAATTAATGAGGGTTTGGGTTTTAATTTAGAATAATCTGCCTTATAGATTCCCAGATTTTACTTTCCAGTCCTTAATAATGGAGAAGATTATTGAACATGCAATAATACCTTGCTTTATGAATTCGTAAAAAGTTTATTGGAAATCATTTCATATTTGAAAGTACTAAAAAAAAAAAAAAAAAGAAAGTACTAGAAGCCATCATAGTTTTAATAACTTCTAATAAATTATTTTGGTAAGACAGTTTCTCCAGTTTATCTAGTTTTTGTAAATCCTAACTCTTGTAATTGGGGGTTTGTTTAGTATAGGTGCAACTTAATTATAAAGTGAGGATACAAGGAACAGAATCTTTTCCTGGGATTTCTCAATAAAATAGCTGTCTAGTTTAAAAAATTTAGGTTTTGGTGAAGTGTGCTAAGTTACTTTTAACTTCCTAATTGATATAACCCACGTTTAGCATTAAGTATGCCTTTTTAAAATCATGTTTTCACTTTATCAGATATTTAAACCAAAATGCTAAAAGTAATCATTGTGAATATGGGTATTTTCTAACATGGGAAAAAAGTATCCATCCATCTTCCTTCAGTTGAATAAATAGTAGATAATTTTTAGATTATATGATTGAAATATGTTGCCATGCAGGATTTATTTCCTTCTAATCTATTTTTTAAAGTAAAGAACAGTTTTAAATTTACAGAAAAATTGTAAAGATAGTACAAAGAATTATTTTATGTCCTCAAACTCAGTTTCTCCTATTGTTAACATCTTACATTTGTTACAATTAATGAACCAATATTGATACATTATTATTATTATTTGATGGTACCTAATCTATTTTTAAGATTGCTGAATACTCAGTGGGTTTTTTAAGTTACAGTTCTTCATAGTTTGTTTAACTGATCTATTCCACATTGCTGTAGTCTATCCATTTTAAACTGCTTTTTTCTTTTTCCAGTAGAAAATCCATGAAGTCTAGAAGTAGAAGTCCCGCATATTCAAGACACTCATCTTCTCATAGTAAAAAGAAGAGATCCGGGTCACGCAGTCGACATTCCAGTATCTCACCTGTCAGGCTTCCACTGAACTCCAGCTTGGGAGCTGAACTCAGTAGGAAAAAGAAGGAAAGAGCAGCAGCTGCTGCAGCAAAAATGGATGGAAAGGAATCCAAGGGTTCACCTATATTTTTGCCTAGAAAAGAGAACAGTTCAGTAGAGGCTAAGGATTCAGGCTTGGAGTCTAAAAAGTTACCCAGAGGTGTAAAATTGGAAAAATCTGCCCCAGATACCGAACTGGTGAATGTAACACATCTTAATACAGAGGTCAAAAATTCTTTAGATACAGGGAAAATAAAGTTGGATGAAAACTCTGAGAAGCATCCTGTTCTTAAAGATTCGAAAGGACAGGGAACAAGAGACTCTAAACCTGTAGCACTGAAAGAGGAGATTGCTACTCCAAAAGAGACAGAGACATCTGAAAAGGAGACCCTTCCACCTCTTCCCACAGTTACTTCTCCACCTCCTTTACCAACTACTACCCCTCCACCTCAGACACCCCCCTTGCCACCTTTGCCTCCACTACCAGCTCTTCCACAGCAACCACCTCTGCCTCCTCCCCAACCAGCATTTAGTCAGGTTTTTTCTTCTAGTACTTCAACTTTGCCCCCTTCTGTTCACCCAAGGACATCAACTCTGTCCTCTCAGGCAAATTCTCAGCCCCCTGTACAGGTTTCTGTGAAGACTCAAGTGTCTGTAACAGCTGCTATTCCACACCTAAAAACTTCAACGTTGCCTCCTCTGCCCCTCCCACCCTTATTACTGGGAGATGATGACATGGATAGGTAAGTCCTGTGGTTAACTGGGAAATTTTAACCCTGTTGTTCTAAGTGTAATGTACTTTTTGTTCTCAAGCTTTGTCAAAATTGACCTAATGAATGGCTGTTTAGAATGCTTTCGTGAATAGGAAATGCCTTTGATGTTTGGTTTTCAGTGGAAAAGTCCTTATATATGACATTTATTAGGAAAAGAGAATTACAGTTTGAGGTCTAGTAACCCTTTTTCTCATAAGTGTATTTATTGATAATTTCGATTCAAATTTTTAAAAATCATGTTTTTCTCCTTAAATTTTTATGTTGAAAATTTTAATATTAAATAGCTGCAGAAAAGTTAAAAGAATATAATTAACACCTGTATACTCTTCACCTTGATTCACCAGTTGTTAATTTTCTGCCATGACACTTCTGAATACTTTAGCATGTCTCTCCTAACAAGAACATTTTCCTATATAATCACAATACCTTTATCACCCTAAAAAACTTATCATTCATTTATTAAATAATATCAGTAGCATATCAATAATAATAATATCCTCAGTGGTCCCAAAAATGTCTTTTATAGCTACTTTTTTTTCCTCCTGATGCTTTAAAAAAATTAATTATCCTGTAAGAAGAAAAGAACAATATATAGAATCTTTGCTAATTAGAATATAAATTCACAGTGGGGTGATGGGAAGAGCTCTAATTTTAATGAGTCCTCTGAGTGTTGAAAACTGAAATAATTTGAAGCATGAATCTGATTTCATGGAAAGCATTAGGAAATATATTTGTTTAATTTCTTGACAGGCCTAGCCAGGCAAGTACCACCAAACAAACATGATTTAACAGTGACATATGCCATGGCAATCTTTGTGTTATTCTTTTTCCTGTGGAGATTCTGCCCTCTTGTTCTGGAGGATATGAGTTTCACTTATTGCAACAAACTTCCACTGTAAGCACAAAAATAAGTATTATCGGTCTTGCATCCCAGACCAATTCCCAAGCTTCCCTTACTTTCCAGGTGACATCAGTAGTTTGAACAATGATACATTTCAGCCCTTTAGATCTATATTTTTTCAGATTACACTCTGCACTTTTTTTAGAAGATGCAAGTGCAATAAAGGAGAGGGAAAGA